TTTCACTTGAGCGCCAAAGCGACGGGAAAGTATTGTCCGATTTGCAGACCGTCTTCCTAATCGTAAATCACGACAATAATTGTACGTCGGGGCAAGCGTTTCCTTTCACATGTGAAATGGCCTGCTCTAGATTTGAAAAGATCAAGCGCGGGAGGGGTCACCGATAATAACACAGAGAGACACACACAGCTGCTAAGCCTCCTGGATCTAAATTCTGAAGTGGCACTCCTCGATCGCAGCAGTTACACGCGCAGCATCATCGATAGGATTGGAAACACGGTGTATTTTGCGTATTTGGATTCGCCTGCGAAATCCAGAGATGAAAGATACTCCACGGTAGTGCCGGCGTCCGCGCGGACGCTGCGTGGATGCTGTGCCGATGATCCTGCCGATGGTTGTGCGTTTTGCCTAAAGGCAAAGGATCGTGGCGACGCGCCGTAAAAACAATCCACCTGTGCCACTGTTAGCTAACCAAAGATCCCACAGTTAATCAAGCGAAGAGCTAGAGGTTAAGATAGCGAAGTAACGATACGGGCCGTGAACGTGCTTAACGACCCTCTAGCGTGTCGCTCGTGATGCCCTAATGAGAACGAGTCCATCGATCTCTACTAAAAACACGACTTCCAGCATTACCGAGCCGCCCGGAGAATTGCTCCCTCACACACCGACCGGTGGAGAGAGGGCCGGGGCAGGGAGCTAGAGAGAGAGAGAGTGACTGACCGATTACAGAGTCGGTGCGCGACGGAGAGATAAGGAGGTCGAGGTGACTCCCATGAGTTGGTTGTCGATATGGGGAAGATGTACCACCTCCTAACATTGTAGCCACCTAGAAATTGGACCGCTTGGTAACTTGGTCATCGATCGATGACCTGCGACCCTGAATCAAGACGATACCATCGGACGATCGAACGATCGAGCGATCGATGATGCAATGATTCTCGTTCTTTCGGGGCCGCTTCACTTGCAACAAAGAGAAATAATTAATAGTTTCGTTGGCCCGATGAGAAAGTTCCCATAATAATCGTGGATTCATAAGGAGATGGGCAGAGATGGCTTTTGATCTTCCGTAAAAGGATGCGACGTCCAATTGAGATTTACCCAATGGACTCCCTTGGTCCTGGAGCGTCCGGCATCTCCGGGCACATCCCGAATACACGGCTACTTACATTTCTAACGATAAGCACGATCTGACTAAGAGGGAAAACAAATTATGGATGAGGAGAAGGAGGAGGAAGATGGACGAAGCGTGAATGGTCGAAGCTCTTTGCAAGAAGAAGAAGAGGAAGAAGAAGAGGAAGAAAAAGAAGAAGCCTGTGGTTATCTTCAATTTTTCCATTAACCCACAGGTTGGTCGCCTAATGGTCGCTACTTGTCTCGAAACGTTTCGACAGTGGATCTCAGGTGGACTCGGGTGGACTCAGGTGGATGCTGACTATTCGGAAGCTGCGTGGACCAGTAGCCGGCACTCTTGGTGAGGATCGCCGAACACCCGATCACCCGGAACTCTTATCTCTCGTCCCAACTCGATACTCCTCCTCTTACACCAAATTCCTTTCGGCAGAATGCCACTTTGAATCCTGATCCTATTAAAAATGAATATTAAAATCGGTGGAAGGGATTTGAGCGAGTGCTCCCGCCCTCCTCCCGCGCCTCCTCTCCTCCCTTGACGAAGCCAGGAAACAGGTTTGACAACCCAAAGGTGGACCCATAGGGGCCACGTGCTGCGCGCCGCATTACTTTACTCATAATCCTCTCGACTACTACTACTACTACTACTCTCTCTTTCTCCCCCCCCCCTCTCTCCCCCTCTTTCTCTCTCTCCATCTACAATTATCATAGAAGAACTTTTCATCGTTCTCTACCGAGCGCCAGCCACCTCAGATCATCCGAAGATTGGCAAAGTATTTATTCCGAGTATCAGACTGCGATGCTCGATGCACTCGATGCATTCGTCCGGTTTCTCCAGGAGAAGTCGTGTCGCCGGGCGTCGTGTCCGACATCGTGTCCCCGACACCCGCTATCTCACCAAGAGAGCCACGTGCCCTTCCACATTTACTGTAGACGTCGCGACGACCTCACTATAGAGACGCTCGTGCGGCCGAACTCTGATGTTTCGAGAGAAATCATGGCAACTCCTAAATTCCGTTTACGCTGGACTAAGGCGAAGGGGGAGGAAGAGAGATGCCGAAGAGCTCGAGAAGTCTCAGGGTGGATGTTGTGCGTACAGTGCGCCAGTGGGGGTCCCTCCACATGTCCGCATGTCCGCATGTCCGCGTGGCTGCCTAGTGGTTCCCGGTCAAAGTTCTAGCCTCACTTAGCAATAATTCAGTCAGGCTGAATCTTCGCTCTGACTCTGCACGCTGCCTCTTCCTCCGTCTTCTTCCTTCGTCTCGCTTTACTCCCAGCAGCATCTCCACGGACGCCAGAATCGACAGCTTCACCTACGCACGGCTACATTTACCGGAGCACGCGTACCTGCAACGTAACTTGCCAATATCGATAAGTCATCGCGAGCAAAAACACCGAAATCGCTTCGGCACCGATCTCCTTGGCATTGCCGATCTCGTTACCAGTGTACGATCGCAAAAAGGGCAATATCACCGGCAGAATGGCAGCGGGGCAAAAGCTCGTTGGAGATTAACCCTGCGGGCTAGACGATGCTCCGCTGATCTTCCTGGGCCAATAATAAACCAACGGCCGACTCCGACTGGATGCTGCTGCGTCTTGGCTGGTGACAATTGACAAGTATAGATAAATAGTGATTGGGTCATTGCGCGTGTGCCGTCGATCCAATTGACAAGTCTGATACAGCCAACGATGATTTAGGTTCTGGCCTAACGTTCTTCGCCAATTAACTGCGACAGCTGGTCAACTCTAATTGGTCGCTTTTAAAATCGGCCGATTGCCCAATAAGGCTGCAGAGTGACGAAGACCCGAGGATCTATCGAATGTAAAATATCACGAATTATATATCTCTCGCAGTAGGTATTTATCCCTGAGTTTCCTGAGATTATGCAGCGTCCATACGTTTTCACGAAACATAAACCAATCGTGAAAGGAGAAGTCGCGCTTCACCGCGCTGCACCGAGATGCACCGCGACGCACCCGGTATCCATTTCACGAGCGATGGAGACATCGGGGTCGTACCTGGTACCTCGTTCGATTCCAGTCGTATGCTAATTTCGACGAGGCAGCCGGTCTGTGGGAGAGCGTGCTACGAGTGGCTACGACTGGCTACGAGTAACGGCTCGAATAAGAGAGATTTTCTTCGAGCACTCTATATTCATCGCCCCTATATGCACTCGACTCTCGTGCACTTGCGATCTTCTTCACGCTCTCCACGCTCTCGAATCTCTTGACGCTCTTGACTCTATTCCCACTTAATTCCCGAGGTTCTTAAACATTTAAGATTCAACGCTTTAGGTTGACGCGTCATTCCAACGGTCGCCAATGCGCGGAAGGATCGTATTTGTAGCACCTTGCCCACCGAGAATGTCACAGAGAAACACCTTGCCTCCTGTCTCGCCCGCATGTTTTTCCTCGGGGCACTACCTGCCGGCTTCTACCACTTTATCATTCCACCGTTCCAACGTTCCACCGTTCCGCCACTCCGGCACTCCGCCGTTTCAGCATTCCATCGTTTCACCGTCATGTACACGTACGGCTTATTGATATTAATTATTACCGTGACCAGCGCCGCACCATCGGCCATCAACCCTCCTCCATTTATTCCTACAAGATTGTCGCTCATCATCCGACATCCGAGTAGATATATTTATATTTTATCTCGTCTCACACGAGATCTCTTCTCCGAAGCAGCTTCGATTTACGACGTTATTCGATAATCCGACTGGCAGGCACATAGGGTCTCCCGTGGCGCCTGAAACAGACCTGATAAAAATGTTTCTTCTGGCGTTTTTCTGTTTCTTCGATTCTACGTGTCTGCTGAAACATCGGCGATATTTTTTCCCCTAGAAACACCACTGGGACAGGCTGAGCTTGCAGCTGGGGTAAATCGGTAGGACTGGCTGTGCTGGGAGTCGCGGTCTATCAGCAGTTGATTTCCGAGACTGGCTTTTTTCCTCGTTCGAAGTAACCCTAAAAATAATTTATGTAATTCATTCGGCTAATATTGCGCGCCGTGTCGTAAAGCCTCCGCATAACCAATTTGGCACTAAAGAGCCCGGCGAGGGCCTTTAAGGCTCGCGGTGGGCAGTGCCATAACATTACTGGTTACGAGTCTCCTCGTACCCTCAGCCTGGCATCCATCGCGAGTCAGGTGAAGCAGTGCTGCCCGTTCCGAGCTTCATGCCCCATGCTCCGTGATATTAGCATGGTAACTGGGGGCCCAGCGGGCGCCTTATTAAATTTGTACCATAAGCAATATCGCGATGTGCCCAGGCGTTTCAATTTGCCAGCCAGGATATTTAAGGGACTGAAGAAAGGGCGCTGGAGGAGCCGCCGGAGATCCTCGCGACCAGCCGTGTCACTCGAGCACTCGATTCTCAAGAATAGTCCCGAGAAAATCGAAATTGGCTCGCTGCGTGAAAACTGTCGAAATTCCAAGGTAAAGGTGGGCTGAAAAGTTGGCGAGGAGGAATCGGTTAATATCCGTCGGTTCTCCATTCGCCACAGAGCGACCCTTAATGGTATTCATAATAGGAGGATAATACGCGTGCATACGAGGATTGCACTCACGGCGCGAACGTGCGTACCAACGTGAATGACATAATGAGTCGGCCGACGGTGCCAACAGTACCATGGCCCATGGCGCTAATGATTACAAATGGCCGAAGGTACCGCGCTCCAGCATCCCTGGCTCTCCTCTCAGTCCTCCCGCTCTTCGAAAGATCATCCTATTAATCACATGCGTGCTTCGTGTTCTGCGTGCTGCGCGCCACCTACGATCCGATATCTCAAAACAACAAGAGGCTATCCTGTAAACAACCGTATTTTCCGGTGCACGGATATCCGTCGGTATATTTGACAACTGCGAGGGATCGTGTGACAGCTGTCAAAATTGAGCGGTTTCTTTAATTTTGATTGCCGTGTATATTTCGTAATCCGACAATGGGAATAAATGTTCTTGATTGATTGAGTCATTGAGCGCGATCGCTTGGACGAAGAAAGTTAACCTCCGAAGAAAAGGTGCTTTAGGATGCGTCATGGAAACCCGCACACTCGCGATCGAAAGGAGAAAGAGGTTCGGAGGTCTTCTTGGCGTAGGCGAGAAATTGAGTGTCGTTCAGGGCTGGAGAGCAGTGCGATCTGTCGTTGCCCAGGAAGTCGCCGGAGAGGATTATATTCCGATTCCGTACCTTCTGGACGCGAGCGCCTACAAGATTGGTCATATTTTTGTGAGATACGTGAGGGAGGTAGGTGGACTAGGGAGAAGCCAGTAGAGGTCAGCAGGACGTATAGATCAATTCATTTTGTCCAATCAGGTTGGTTGTCTGGGAATGATCCGAACACCGTTTTTCAAGATCCTCGGTCCCATTGGAAATTTTGTTAATGTATCGGAAAGCAACGCCAGTTGGAACGAGAAGAGTCTTCCGGCCATCAAGAGCACAGCCGATCACGTGCACTTCAAGGTAAGGTGGATCTTCGAGTGGAGGGGAATAGGGAAAAGTCTGAGTAGCGTAAAAGGAGAGAAAAGAAATAAGAGAAAGGGAGAGACGCGGAGTAACTGACACAGGTTAGGGTTCACCAAGGAAATGGAAAAAGTTCTGAGGAGATCATCTTCAAGGGCGAAGATTTTTGGTACCTCGAGATGCCGGAAGGGATGATCACGAAAAATAATCTACGGATCGATCGATCGTCTCATCAAGGTATGAGTTTCGAATTAGGCTGGAGATGAAGGAGATCAATCCAGTCTCAGACAGACTCGTATCAGATTTGGCCAGTGTTGCATCCTTCGGACTGATCAGGAACGTCCTTGTCGCTCGAGCCTTCGAGATCGAGATCAATTCGAAAAGATCCTCGAGGCTGCTGCGAGTAGCCAACGAGCCGCATACTCTTCTCTTCAAGTACGAAATCTGCAATATGAACGTCGATGGACGCGTTATAAACTCGGTAATCTTTTGGTCCTTGCTATTCTGCGATTCCATCACTCTGGACTCTGCTTCAATTTTTTCCCCATCTCTTCACGGTCCACTTCATTGCCACTTCGAAGAGGACGCCTGGGAGATCATCTCGGCGACTTACTTGGCAATCGCTTCAATCGAGGGACGACGCCGAGAGGCTCCCACTTACCGAGCTCCATCTAACCGACTAGCCAACTAGCCAGCTGACCAGCCATCTAGCCAATCAGTCAACGTGTTACTCCAATTAAGGCTTCGATAAAATTTTTCCGTACAACACTATAAGTGATCGCTGTTAAAGTAATTACTGTTGACAATTTTTAAGAAGAAAAATTTTAAAACTCATAAACAATCATTGTTCTAACGTTTAGAACCGAGTCCGATGACTTCGGTCGAGCTGCTAACGTAGTTAATAGAAGCAGCCACAGCAGCCGTTCCCTCCATAGAGGAGAACCTTGTTTCCGGCCCGCAACCGGAAGTTGTCATCGACGGAACGCGTGCCGGCCACGCGTCTGCCTCACCCGACCGTTTTACCTTTACCATGGTTCTAAGAGGAAAACTCGTTAGCACGGTAAATAGAGCTTAATAGAATGATTACGCCACACCTAATTGCACGATCAATGCCAACCATTGAAGGAAACGTCGCCACGGTAATGATGTTTGTCGCTCTATTTTTCCTTTTTATTCTCCGTAACCCCACGAGCAGTTTGTGCGGCCTTTCACCTTCCGGAAGCAACGTGTCACTCACAATCAGGCTGCGCGTCAAGGAGTATATATTGCTTTAGTGTAGAATAGTTAAAAATGCCTTGAGCGTTATCTTAGGAATCGTGCGGGTAGCGTTCTGCAGTGGGCGACGCTGGAAGGCACCTGCCTGCCTGTTTCGACGGCGACGCATAACGACGCATGCCGGTCTATCGTAATAACGCGCGTACCATCCATTCGACCAATCAGTCGGCTTCAAAATAATTTTAATACCCGTATAGTGCATGCCCGTGGTGAATCTTTTGGCTTCTTCAGCGCTCGACTGCAAGCACCTTGCACGAGATCTCTGCGTCCACCCGAAGAGGTCAGGAGTTCAGGAACACTTAGGAAAAGGCTTCCAGGGTGTTGCGTGATCGAGCTACCTGTCCTTCGATAGCGCCACCAGCGCCCCCAGCGCCAGGATCACGAGGGCATCGAAGCATAATTCCTTGGCATATGTCGCTTAGAAATTTTGAAGGGAGTCTATGACGAAGACGTGGACGAAGGATGAATTAAGGTGCATCTACAGGTGGGGCCAAGAGTGGCAGGTAGGACACGGGTGGTTATTCGGCAGGGGTGCCCGCCGTCCGAAGGACCTGCGTGCACCCGTAATCAGGCAAGCATAAATCCGCCTTGCGAAGTCGAGGAACAGTTTCACCTGCAACCCCCAAGACGGTGGCTGTTGGGGTGCAGTCGCAGCCAATTGGAAGTCGCCTGGTCGTCCTAGTCGCTGCGTGAGCAACGGTGCGTGATTCCTCGGCACATGACGCTTGTCGGCGTCGCCCTGAGCATCGCTGGTAGCCAAGACGAGGCTGGGAGCCCCCAGCACGGGACACCCCCAGTCGGCACAGGGTGCTGGCAGGTCCTGAGAGCACTCGGCCATGTCTCCGTGGAGGGTGAAGCCGCCGAAGCCGCCGAATCGCGTAACCGTGACAGACAGGTGACACGCGCCGAGTTGCTGCACTGCCGGACGCGACGCGTGCCTTGGGGTTAATTTGAAAATAAACAGTTGGAGAATAGACAAACAGCGAGTGGGTTTTGCGTGAATACGAGCTTCCTCGCACCGGCTGTTAGTCGCGTGTCGCCTTCTACGTCATTAACATATTAACGGCGTCAAGTTAATTCTGCCGAAGCGGAATCCCCGATAACAACTTACTCGGAATCGGCCGAGTCTCCGTGTTCGAGCATAAATCCTGAAGATTGAGCAAGTAGCCACGTACCGTAGACACATAGAGAGACCGTAGAGAAAGAGAGAGAGAGAAAGAGAGAGAGAGAGAGAGAGAGAGAGAGAGAGAGAGAGAGAGAGAGAGAGAGAGACTCTGTCCGAGCTCGAGTTTCGAATTTACATTCAATTGTTGAACCGAAAAAGATCCGAAGAATAGAGAGTTCAGCGTAGGAGAAACGTCGGCGCTCGGACTTTGGACTTTCGACTTCGAAGCCAACGGTGTACGGGATAAATTGTAATGTGAACTCCGATCTGGGAGAGTAACAGCCCACTACAAGACAAGCTAGATGATATCGTTGTCCTCAGCATGTTTGACTAGCGTTGCCCTCTTGTCGAGTCATCCTAGCGAGAAAAGAATTTGATTGCTTCGGGATCCAGTTTGGAAATACACAAGGGTCGTGCTCGCGATCCCCACTGGTTCACGCGAGGACGAACCTCCTGTGCGGCAGCACACTTCATTGCGCTTCGCTCCGCTTCAGTCCGCTTCTCGGCTGACAACATAAACCCGTCCGTTTATAGGGTTTGTATACCAGGCTACCTCTGTAATTCACAACATTGTCCGGTTGGAAAATTTACTGCATGCTTCGTTAGAGTTAATTTCGCCCTGAAGTCGAACGAGGAGTCGGCTGCCTCGGAATTCGAAGCGCACGAGGCGTCTCTCGCCAATGGATTTTTGCACCGTCCAATTGTTGAGCCATCGGAATACGGAGCAGCGCTTTGGGGGAATCGTTGGTGCGAAGGCGGTGAGAAATAATGAAATACGAATCGACGGCCTCTCGATAGGAATTATCAAGGACGACAGAGAACACGAGAAACACGAGAGACTCAAGAGAAAAGACAAGATAGGTACTCGGTTCATATGGTACAAGGGAATAAATAACGCAAATTGCAGAAATAAATAGAGCTGTCGAACGAGTCTTCGACACTGCGGGAGCAGCGCGCGCGAAGCCTCTTCGCGTGGGCTGCGATCGAATTTCATACAAATCGCAGGTAACCTAAACCAAAACCAGCTCGCGCGCCTTTCCCATCGAGAGCATCAATAATCCTGGCGAGCAGCCACCATCCGGCCACCAATCGACCAAACGCTAAACAATCGTTGCGATAGCTTGCGAAAAATATGAACGTCCGTGTAAAATATTATGACAAGAAAGAATAAAATGCTACGTCGAAAGGGAAGAAGGGCGCGAAGACAGCAGTAAACGTCGCTACTCTCTGATATTTTATACAATTTTCGAAGGTGCCGCCACGTCTGCAAAATATAGGGTTGAGCGTCTTCCGAGGTGCGTGTGTAGGATTATTCATCCGGACGAGGGCAGATTCAAAGGGGAGATGCAGAATGAAGCTGTAGAGCCTGAAGAGTGTAGACAGTAGAAACTCCGGCAGAGGTGGGAAGCGAATGAGGGACTGTGCTGCATCGCGCTGCACTGTGCTGCACTCTGCTGCGGCGCAGCACAGTTCCCAGGCAATTCTATGAATACGAAATATGAGGTCACTGGCTGCCCCCCTTCGCTCAATCATCCCAGACACGCCTGGCGCATTGGCTTTCCATAGGGTTCGCGTAACCAGGATGAACTTCTTCTCCGACACAATTTCCGTGAAACAAGTAAACCAATAATTCAGAAAATGGAAAAACTAACAAGTGTAAATATTAGGTAGCTGTTAAGACAAGGATGAAGATCCGCATTGTATCCAACTGCTTGAATCGAGTTTATCAGTGTTGGGGCTTATCAGTCAGGAAGTGACCTGGAGAAACGTCATTTCGTCAGTGGCGTCGATGCCGTCGATTCAGCGAATCCATGTCGAGATTACGGAGGACTCGGTGGCCCCTCTTAGACGTGATTACAGGCCGGGACGGCACCTCATCTGCCAGAGGTCAAAGGTCCCGTACCTGCCCGGAAACGCATTTTCTTCCACAGCACCGCGCCTTTGCTGATTGCTGAGTTATCCGAACGAGATTTCATCATTACTTATTGTCCTCTGGTTATCTCGCGGATCAGGTCGAGTCCAGCGAATAAACGCCGCGGTTTCCGCATCCGGTCTTTGCCAATGAAACATCGACAGTCGACTACATCAAATCCGTAGAAATAAAAAAATAGTGGCCCATACGCTTGTAAAAGAATTTCCAGACACAGAGCCCATACGTTGCTCGGTGTCAAAGGGGACAGCTCCTTTGACCTCGGTGAGCCTGAAGACCTCACCCACATGATACCGCGAACCTGTCACTCTCAGAAAGTAATTCTGACAAAAGCTCGCACCTCCATTCAAGGGAAACTTTTCATATGGTAAGCGTGCATCCTCTAAGGTCCAAAGGACTAGAGATACGTGAGGGAGGCGTGATACTGAATCGAGACTCTGGTAATAAAGGATGCTGCGATCTGAAAGGAGCGTGGGATCATTTTTGTGTTTGCCCTCTGGCCGCTACTATCCGGCTCTGACACAGGAGCAATCCGGCGGAACGAGAGAGAGAGCGAGGAGAGGAGCAAGATCGTCACTCCCAGTCCTCCAAGGAATAGAGCAAGCTGATGAAGGGGCCGGGGGGGGGCGGGAGACGGGTGCCAAGAGACGGAGGGCAGGATTCAAGTGAACTTCCAGGCGCATCGAGAATCGAACGTTGCACGATGGAGTTAACAGGTTGATAGGGCACGAATAGAAATTTTTCAAAGATTTTTAAAGAAAACCTCAAATCGTCTGGTTAAGAAATGGAAGATTGAATGCGGTGGCGGCAGCCACTCCGATAGAATGGTATGTGGTTGCCAAAGATGCTCTCGACTAAGGAGTCTTATTCGGCTAATTTAACATCGGCGGTAGGTTGGGTTTCAGTTGCGGTCTCTTCAAAGACCATCAAAGAGGAGAGGAGCGTCGGGACGCAAGACAATACCAGTTGAAACGGATAGCCAGAGATGGGAGGATGCCGGATCATGGGAGTTTGATAGAAGAACCCGCCTAAGTCCACGTTACTCGCGCTTCGATTCCTTCGACATTGTCTATCAGGTTGCTCGGGTAATTCGAACACTGGTTTTCCCTTGTTTTCTCCTGCTTTGAGCGAAACCGCCTTGAGAAAGATTTAATGGACCAAAAGGGACCGCTGCAATGTCCAGCTTCCATATATTTCATCGAAATTCCGGCTCCCACAGGCTTCCACGGTAGTTTTCATTCGCGGAGGCAATGTTAGAATAGACAATAAGTAGCCGGTGCTGCCGGTCGTTGTTCCGAGGCGACGCATCAGGACATTAGAATTAAGATTTTTCGAGACGCCGTCGACGCTGCGCGTCGGCACTGCG